GGGATCACCCTGATCTCTGGGGGCAGCTCATTCCAGAGGGTGGGAGCTCCCACAGAGAAGGCCCTCCCCCTTGGGGTCGCCAGCCGGCACTGTCTGGCCGACGGCACCCTGAGGAGACCCACCCTGTGGGAGCGTACTGGCCGATGGGAGGTAATCTGTGGCAGAAGGCGGTCTCGAAGGTATCCTGGTCCGCTGCCAATAAACAATCCAAGAAGACTTACATAAACATGCCAGGTAAGTACAGCTTGTTTATTGTAATGGCTATGAAGCATTGACTATGATTATCAAGCTGTTTTTTCACCTAACCTAGCTACTAAACCTAAAAATATATTCTCTTTCAAGTCACCAGGCATATCACAAAATACACCATGTAATAAAGCTGTGTTTATAACACAAACATATATAACATACCCCAATGCTTGTCTCCTACAACAGATATCCATATGGTAGCCTTCCCTTTCCATTTATATAAAATAATTATATGTATAATTCTACATACCAACACAGCCAACTCCTGTTGGGTTCAGCTGGAAATCTGGAGGACAGTTACATTCATACCTTCCAGGAGTATTTACACAAAAGCCATTGACACAATTTATAGGATCAGCACACTCATCAATATCTAAAGTAAGAAACATGCATCTGAAATTAAACTTAAGCCTTTATATTCATTTCATTAGTTCTTTTATAATAAAAAAATAAACATACTTCCTTCTTAACTGTTTACTTAACACAATCTATTAATCTCAGCCAGTTTCTGAAATACTGAACCAATCAACACTTCATTGTATTTTGATTTAATGGCTATATTCTAGCAATGATTTTTTTTTAAAAAAAATTTTACATTCCTATAATCCCTTTTTTGGGGGGTGGATTCAGAATGACTGAATGGAGCTGAGCATTTACTGGCCGGATGCCCTTCCTGACAGCTATGCAGAGTTTGCAGCAGGTATTTTCTCTTTGCGTCCTGATAGAGAAACATCTGTCTCTGCCTAGGATTGAATTCTCAACATTCTGAGTCAGAAGTGAGTTTCTTCACCTATAGGCCACTGCGCCACTCATATTCTAGCAATGATCAGTTTAATGAAAAAAGAAGTCAGAATTTTTTCTTTTAACCAAAATCTAACATAAAATATAATTGAAATTCATAGCTATTAATAGTATTATTTTAGCTTAAATATAATTATACTTTAGTGTATATATCCTTTTTATCCTGTTATTTTTCTTTTGAAGATTATTTATAATTATGGCTTTTACCTAATCTGTTCATCGGAAGAATATGTAATTTTGCATTTTTGGAAATATGCTGACAGTTCTTATGGAAAAAAAATATTATAAATGAACAATAGTGCAGGTAATAACTTTCTGTTTGTGTCAGTAATGTTTCCGTTTTGACCTCTTTACATAGAGGATTGGTTATACACACACACCTACCTACCCAGAGACATATTCTTTTACCTGTACAATTTCCTCCAGTTCTATCCAGTTCATAGCCATCATCACAAATACAGTGAAACATGCCAGGTAAGTTATTGCAAGTACCAAACACACATATATTCTGGAAGGCACATTCATCAATATCTGAAACAAAGGATAATACCGGAAATGATTAGTTACTATGTCTGAATGAAATACATACACCAAATCACTTATTTCCTAATAGTTCTTGAAATGTATATCTATATTAGAAAAGTCTAAACCTTATATGTATATGGTTCCCTGTGGTTTAATGAGAGGGAGTTGGATACATTAATTTTGTTATACAATAAGAAGAGAATGTCACGAATGAAGGCGAATATATGTGCCCCAGGATAATGTTGCAGGATCCAATCTGGATTTGTTACTGAGACTGGAGATTTTGTCTTCCAAACTTTTGGACTCATGTTGGAGCCCCTCGCTAGGGACCCTCACACTCTGCCAGAGAGACGTTCCCTGAGGATGGGCTCCAGCCCTAGTCTGAAAGCTCGGAAGGCAAAACCTCTGCTCCCGGTGACCGACCCAGATTGGATCCTGCAGAAAAAATTGTATTTGCATATGATGGGAACATTTAAAGGAGATTATTTGAAAATATTTGCATGTCACATTGTATTCATATTGCATATTATTTTCCATTCAAAACATCTAAAACCAAAGAAAATGAAATAATTTAAATAATTATTTATAATAATTTGTGCCAAAACAACCGATCAAATCATAAGAACTGCTAAAATAAAGACTGCCATAAAAACAATAAAACTGGGGCTTCAATAGTAAGTTTGAAATATCACAGCATGATGGATATGATACATCTGCACCAAGAGAGATTATAACCATGTCACTAAATTAAATTTCATATTATTTTGAAATCTACTGAAAAATATATTACCACAAATACAAAATTCTTATGCTTACTTCTCTAAGATCCCTTATTAATGTAATATATTTCCACATACATATAATGTTGTAACCAGAACATTTTTTTCTACATGCTATTTGTTAATTGACAAAAATGGTCAACCCACTGTTTGATGCAACATTTTATGTGCAAAGCCATGAAAACTGGAATGTCTAAAGCAAAGTCATTTTGCTTGAGAAAAATAGCTAGCTTTATATATAAATCATACGGTGCATATTCTGCATTACACAAACATTCTGCTAGTACTTAGAATTTACCTCCTCATATCTGATCCAAATGCTCAAAAAAAGGGGGGGGGGAGGAATCCCTGTGGATTTTACTCCACTAATTGTTGCTGACTATAGGGGGCAGTGCTCATCTCCGTTTCAAGAGCCATTGAGCCAGTGCTGTCTGAAGACCTTTCTGCGCTCATGCGGCCAACATGATGTCATGGAATGTCCTTACTTATTTATCTACTTGTATTTGCATGCTTTCAAATTGCTAGCGTGGCAGGGGCTAGGGCAGGGGTAGGCAACCTTG